TTCAGTCACAGAAAAGCTCATGACAGGAAACGCCTTGCGTAACCATCTTCTGATGCGTCTCAAATACTCGTCAGCGAGTAATGGCAGTAAGTAAGTACGAGAGTTGTGGCCATCCTATACTATATGAAAAAAAATGAGAGAAATATTTACAATTTTTTATTAACCTGCCACTGTATTTTTAACCTAAAGTTTGAACAAATATATATTTGGGCCTGTTTATTAATTATCTAAACATATATTCTACCTAAAAAACCTACACTGACAATGTTAATTAATCTAGGAATATTTTATCGTACCTTTAAAATTATTGTTCTTGATCTTTCACCATTTTTGAATACTTGTTCACAAAGACACAGACGAAACGGTTAATTTTGCGCGCCAATTTTGGGAGATAAGGTTTGACCCAGTAGAAAGAAATATTGATATCTATTTACCTGGAAAGTCAAAGTAGACAAAAAATCCATGAAGCGAAGCTGAACTCGTGGGAAATTTAAATTATAAGCAATAAAAATCATTTTTGGCCGACCACTGGAGGTGGCTTACTGGCGAAATCACCCTATCTGTACTTTCGTTAAAATTAGGATTTTTGAACCTATGATTAGAGTTACTTTTCTTTTTCTTTTTAGTTGAAAAAAATCGATTCTGTGGAGTTGCATTCTTGCGTGCCGAGACCTCTGAAACCTCATTAAAATTATTTTCTTGCAAAGCTTCAGCTGTGCGTAAATTTTTAGCGGCTTGTATATTTGAAAGCAAGAGTTTATCATTGCTGTCACTTAAATTATCACAACTACAGCTATTTGCCACCCGTGTTAATTCTGCCATTTCTTTTAGTACCATATCTTTGTTGTGACAACTTATTAGTTTCACTAAAAACATTTATGCATTCATCTAGAGCAGTATTATTCTCACTTTCATTTAATTTCTGAGACGATGGAGGTACATTGAAATATTTTAAGGCAACAAAATGAATATGTTTGCAAATTAAACTATAAATAAAAAAATTTGGCCAGCTGCAACTAAACTGATGGACACAAATATTAGAAAATTCACAATCCAATTTATAGCATTTTTGTAAAATATCAGTTTTTTTTAGTAAAGTAATGGTTCTGGTCATGAACTACTGTACAGACCAAGTGTTATTTTCCTCCAAATTTAAAACAAAAGATGAACAAAGTGATACTCTATGTCGCTTGCAATTTTTTGCCCTTTGAACATTTGTTTTGCTTTTGGTAGGTTTAGGTTTAGGTAGTTTGTTGGTTCACCAACTCCATTTTTTTGATCATGTAAGTAGTTAATAAGTTCATCAAAATTCATATGATCACTAGCAGGTTTCAAATTATTCAATTGCCGCCACTCTATATCTAATTCTAGAATGTTTTCCTGGCTAATAATATTGTGAAATCTTGTTATTAATTTAGCAAGACTTTCTTTATTATTGGAGAAAACTTGAGTGGGACCTAAGATTTTAATCATATTTTAGGTTTCATCTGAAAAATCAATTGGCTTCTGATTTCGGAACATAGTTTGGAATAAAAATCTAGGGTATTTTACTTTCACAAAATTAATTTCTTTTCTACTTATATCACCTGAATATATAAATTGTTCGGCTTCTATACCTAAATAAATATTTTCTAATTGCATATAATAATAAGGATTTGTAGGATTAATCCTACTTAGCGGGATTTTAGAGTTCACAATTTCTGGCTTCATATAAAATTTAAGGGTAATGGTGTGGATCCGGTGGCTGATCTTGAAGCCCATATTTGCTGCATTTGATCATCGATACTACGCAAGCGCACATCGTCGATGTTGCCAAATTGCAGTTTATTTTCGAATTATTTTCAGTTGAATTTTTTTTTAAAGTGTTAATCAATAATAATACAAATTCTATAATTAATTTTATAATTTCAGATTTAACTTGATATCCAAATTTAAGGTAAGAAGGATAACGAAGATTGTGAAATTAAAGTATTATGAATATATAAAATTGTAATAATAATAACATTTATTTATATATTTACATTAGAATTAAAAATTATCATTTACGGATTTTTTCTTAATGGTTTTAAACTTATTAGAATTATTTTATTTCTTTCAAGTTATTTAATTTCTAGTTATTTACAGGCAACAATAGTTTTGATTATATGTATTAATGTTTTGAAATACTACCATGACGAGTCTTATAGAACAATACACGTCAATGGGAGATAGAGGTAACATTTTACCTATAATGTTACTAATATAATATACTTTGATTATAATGTTTGTATCATAATTTCTTAGAAATATCAAGTTAGTGGATTAATAGCAGTTTTAGACATATATTTTATCAAAGAGTGTGTTGATAAGACTAAAATAAGCTTTATGTTTTATCTTTTTCTCTTTAGAAGGGAGATGGTTTGTGTCGTACAATACATTACAGTATTTATTATCGTGTACTTTGATATTCTTTTCTTAATTTACTGTAATTTCTTGTTTCCTATAATGCCAAGTCTTGACAATATGGTGAAGGTTGAGTTTTGATCTTATTAGTTTTATACCTGTGTTTATACAAGACCAAATTAAGACTTAGTTTGTGATTTATATTAAGATCTTTCTTATAATATTTGTTATGTCTTAATCTTAATACCGTATGATCGAATAAAAACGGCGTCAACGATGGCTATGAAATGAAGATCGCTGTCATTTTATATGTAAAATTATATGGGAAATGTCATCGATCGTCATTTTCAAGCCAACTGGACGCTGTTTTTTTTTCGATCATGCGGTATTATATTATGCTTTTTCTGGAAAATAAATGTTAAAATATCTTAATTTTGCATATCCTATTCCGTCCTTCCATTAGGAAAAATATGGTTTATAAATCATATTATGCTAAGAAAATCACATAAATTAGGTGTAAGAATAGAGAGATCTTAAGGTAGCAGAAAAATTAATGCAATATATGTATAAGCAGAATTAAACAAGGTAACTGTTAATGTTGCTGAAGCCGATTCTACAATTTTAATTACGGAGGCTAAAAGGTTTTTAAGGCCTCCGTAGTTTTGATGGAATGTAAAAAAAAAACTATTATGAACATGACATGGAGCTGCAGCATTTAAAAATAAAAAAAAAGAAAAAACTTGGACATATCCCCCGAATTTTTAAAAAAAGCACTTTTTAAACGTAGCATAATAATCTAGAGCAATTAGATTAATTATAGGAATCTAGAGTTTTATTTCTATTTAATTTTATTGACTATGAAAATACATAATATAAGCGTTCACGTGTTGTGCAAAATATTAAAATAATAATATAAATAATATACCGCGTACTATGATTGAAAAAAATAGCGTCATGCAGCGATGACTTGAAATGAAGATCGATGTCATTTTATATGGGAAATGTCCTCAATCATCATTTCCCAGTCAACTGGACGCCGTTTTTTCGATCATACGCTATATATTGACAAAAAACACTGAAAAGCACATATTTGTTTTCTACTGAAAATAATTCCAAAATAACTTGCAATCTGGCAACATCGAAGATGTGCGCATGCGTAGTGTCTGTGACTATATGCAGCAAAAACTCGTTTCAAGGTCAGCCACCGGATCCACACCATTACCAATTTAAGTATTGTTTTATAAATATTTACCTCAAAATTATTTTCAATAAACGAAAATGATAACTAAAACAAACTTCTTAAAATATTTATAGTAAGCTTTTATATACAAAATTCCTATGATAGAAGTATACTAAAATACTTATTTACTTTTTTTATAGATATAATACCGCATACCGCATACCGCAACTGTATTACAGCTAATATAATTAATCTTAATATATCATTAACCACTCAAGTATGATCATTACTTTTTGACTTCCCCCTCTAGACCTAAGCATGAACATAGCGGCCTCATTTCCAGGGTTCGGAAAACTACATGTTACTTTTAAAAACTACATAAACTACATTACATGTAGTTAATGTAGTTTATGTAGAGGGTGTAGTTTATGTAACCTATGTCAAATATCAAAGGTTTGAGGTGAGGTTATAACAAGTTGAAGCTTTAAAAACACATAATGAATTTAAGAAAACAGAAGAAATATGGCTTTAAATATAATATTTACATCATATTATCTCTATAACACCTCATACAAAGGAAAATTATTCATAATATCAATACATAGTTTATTAACGTAGTTTTCATGTAGATAATGAACGGGAAAAGACGTAGTTTTTGAAGAAAAACTACACGTAGTTAATCAGGTAAATTACGTCTTAATTAACTACTTCCGAACCCTGCTCATTTCTGCGCACCTTCAAGCTCATTTTCCTATCTCTATCTATGGAGTAATTCATAAATGACTTGCAATCTGGCAACATCGAGGATCTAGCCATGTAAGATTGCGAAGTGTCTGCGAGCAAATGCAGCAAATAGACGGTCTCAGGGTTAATCGCTTGAAAACCATCACCGGTGTTTTACGTATTTCTTCATGGTATTTCCACAGATTTCTTTGTATATACAATTCGTACTTTTTTTTACGTATATTTTAAACCAAAGCGTAAGAAGTCCAGAGCAGGGTTCGGAAAACTACATGTTACTTTTAAAAACTACATAAACTACATTACATGTATTTAATGTAGTTTATGTAGAGGGTGTAGTTTATGTAACCTATGTATGTAACTTTCAAATATCAAAGGTTTGAGATGAGGTTATAATAAGTTGAAGCTTTAAAAACACATAATGTATTTAAGAAAACAGAAGAAATATGGCTTTAAATTTAATATTTACATCATATTATCTCTATTACACCTCATACAAAGGAAAATTATTGATAATATCAATACATAGTTTATTAACGTAGTTTTCATGTAGTTAATGAACGGGAAAAGACGTAGTTTTTGAAGAAAAACTACACGTAGTTAATCAGGTAAATTACGTCTTAATTAACTACTTCCGAACCCTGGTCCAGAAGTGTACACATCCCTGATTTGTTGACACTTTCAAAATCCCGCCCGTCCGTTTTTTTATTAATCTTTGGGGTTATAACCTTAAATAATAAACAAAATATTTACACGTCGATAATTTTGTAATTAATTTCCATAAAATGATATCCAGATATTTTTAAGAGTACTTCTTTATTATAAAACGTCCGTAATATATTTGCATTAACCATTTTTCCAATATTTTATAACATGGATACACTGTATAATCAAACAAACAAGCTAATTCAGCAAACACAACAAAGATTTCAAGTTCTTGAAGGAAATGTTCTTGGTAGAGATCCAATAGAAGTTGAAGCAGATATTGCTGAAAATATCAAACATATTAATAGGTTCGTTATTTAGTTAAATTATGTTCTTTTAATTAGTCTTGAATTTGTATTAATGTATTTTTTTAGTAATTGTGAGAAGCTAGACTTGTATATTTACAAATTACCAATCGACCAGCGTCAAAGTGTAAAGATGAGAAGTGATCAACTGAAATATGATTGCAAACATCTTCAAGCTGCTTTAGATGCGGCCAAACAACGACGAATACGTCGTGAGCTCGCTGCAAGTGAAAGAGAACAGTTATTAAATAGACGTTTTGCACCAAACCCAGATCTAACTACTATAAATATTGATTATTCTATTCAACAACAACATTCCCTACATAATGCTCACCAAGGTGTCGATGAAATGTTATATACTGGAACTACTACTTTAGAATCTTTGAGATCCCAACATATGACTTTAAAAGGAGCTCATAGGAGAATAATAGATATGGCCAATACATTAGGACTAAGCAATCATACAATGAGGCTTATTGAGAAAAGAGTGTCACAAGATAAAGTGATTTTTGTGATAGGAGTTGTAGTTACATTATTTGTAATTATTCTTGTTATAATATACTTAACATAAATCATCCGTAGTTCAATTAAAAAAGGTGATCATCATACCGAATGTTCTAACAGATTAAAAAAATCTTGATGTAAGATGAAACCCATATACTTTATTCAAGTTGATTAAATAGAAGAATGTCAATCGACACATTTAAATATGGATTATCTATATTTTGCGAATAAAAATATTTTGATGCATTATAACCGTATGATTGAAAAAAAACAGCATCCAGTTAGGTTTTAGAGTCCATTGATGATATTTCCTATATAATTTTACATATAACTGCAATTTTCATTTCAATGTCATTGCTGACACCGTTTTCTTATCACATCTATACCATATTATCATTTTATATGGGAAATGCAATCAATTAATTCCAAGCCATCTTGATGCCATGTATTTTCACTTATTCGGTATTAATATTTATTTTATATACATACATGCTGACATGGGTTTGTTTAAAAGTATAAACAAAAATAAACATAATTTATGCATTTTCAGGACCATAAGAGTATACTGTGATATTATATAGATATGATGTTTTACAGTAGTATGATTGAAGAAAGATGCATCCAGTTGGCTTGGAAATGATCCATGATATTCCCCATATAATTTTAGATAGAAAATGACATCATTTCCAAGCCTTCTCTCTCGTCATTCGATCCTATATTATAATATAATAATAATAATATAATTATTATGAGTAAGTCTATTAAATAGAAGAAGAAAATTCAAATGGTATACCTTGCTTTCATATGTTTTCACAATGTTGCTGTGATATCATATTGCTTGAGGGGTAACTAGGCATTGGCGTAACTACAGTGGTGCCCGGGGGTGCCGGGCCCCCCCTAGCTACTGCTGGGCATCCTCCAGTGATTTCTCTGGGCGGCCCCCAGAGAAATCTTGAATTATGACTCTTGGCTACGTATTAATTTTTATTTGCTTGTGATGTAGTAAAAATGACGTTTTCTAGTTTTGTTTAGTTAATATTATCTAGTTATGTTCAAAAAATGTAATAATTTTATTTTTTTTTTAGAAAATTTGTAGGTATTTAAGTAATCTACGGGAACACGGTTTGAAACCAAGTGTATGAAATTTATTGATAGAGAAATTCATGTAAACGTTTTATTCAAAAAATGTGTTTTTTAAATTATTTTTAATTTTTTAAAAAACAAAAGCACTAGACCACCCCTGGGTGAACCCCAGGCCCCCCAGGATGAATTGCTAGTTACGCTAATGTAACTAGGTACAACTTAACAAGTATAGCTAGAGACGTGAGAAATATAAAATAACACGCGACAGGTGCTATACCCAAGTCTCTTCCTATATTTGTACAACTGTATATATCAATGGTTTCCCAAGGTTATTTAGACGTTTTTATATTATACTATGTTATTTCATTTGTAGCTTTGTTAGCTTATTTGTTTTAATGATTGTCTACAGATGTCATTACAAGAGGATTGATTGACTATTATTGATATTTTGAGAAAAATGCAATTCTTCATAAAACTTTTTGCTTGTTTTAAAATGGTTACCTTTATACTTTTCAAAATTTCCATACTATTTTAGAGAAGGCTAAAAAACATAAAAATATGGTTGAATATTTAAAAGTCCTAAAACTCAAGAGGCGTTTCTACAGTAATATAATTTCGATTTTGTTCGTGGATAGATTGTTAATTTTGATTAGTCATTTTTTGCATAAAATTTGATGTTAATTAAAATTCAATAATATATCAATAACTATTTATTATATCCATATAGTAGATTTAAAAAAGTTACATATTATTTGTATAGCATTTTTTTAAGATTGTAAATATTTTATTTCTACTATTTAATGCTAAGATTTAATGCATTACTACGCCATTTTGTCAAGTAATAGTACCTCTGAAAATCTTACAAGAAATTTTGTACTTAGGACAAAGAGTAGATAAGACAAGAGACGACAGTGAACAAAGAAGTCGAATTTCGCGAGGGAGACGCAGATATATTAAAATTTAAAGGTCCCGTCAAGTTCCATTTTGTCTGTTGCCAAGTATATTTCTTTGAAAAATAAACAAGATTTTCTGAAAATAAATTAATAATATAAGAAGGATATAAGTAACGTATGTTAAAACGGAAATGTAAATTTTTAGTTTGAGTTGGTTTAGGTTCTTTTTTCGCAATGTACTGATAATATCAAAGAAACAGAATGACTAAAGTTGATCGATTTCAAAGATAAACAGATAAAATCTGAAAATCTGACAACGGCGCATTTTATTTATTCAATTGATTCTAACCTATGATTTTAGGACGCTAATCAGCTGTGCTAATCAAGCTTAAACAGTGCCTTCTATTAAAAGATCAGCCTACGGGCGGACTTTTGTTTACTTCATCAGCTGTACATACTTAGATATTGGGTTAGATTCCGTTTCATATTTTGTCGGTTGATTTTTGGTTTTAACTCTTTGATTTTTGGTATTATTTATTATTGTAGTGCAAAAAACTAATTATTTTGGTGTTGAAGTGACATAAACTACTACCAGATATGGTCACTCTCGGTTTCGCATAAAAAATAGAAATTTTAAAAAATTACACGTTGTGCAAGTGATTTAACCTAAAAGTGCCCATACATTTTTTACTTATCGTGATTTTTGTGTGTGTTTTTAAGACTCTAACAATTCATCAATAAAGCTTAAGTGGAATGTTATTGGTGCTATGCCTCATCTTTGTTGTGTTCCTGGTGGAAAGGATAGTTATTATACTAGGCAGCCTAAAGTGTCCGGAAGAGCAAGAAAAGTGGGTACGAGTTATAAATCAAGAGAATTTTATTGAAAATATCTTTAATAAATTTAAAAATAATATTCTCCCATGATGGTATTAATGAAAACTGGACAATTATGTTTATTTTATTCATATTGTGGAATCTCCACTCCAAGTGTTGCTGGTTCAGCTTCGATAGATTCAAACACGTAAGTAGGTATTATGAACTAGGGAAAAATAAAGAACATGTGTATTAGAGATCATGAAAAGATTATTATTTTGAGTTCAAATTTTAAAAAGATTTTTGTAAAGACAAGACTGATACAGTTTAAAAGAAGAATGTGTTTTTGTTTGATAATATATAATGTATGTTAAGCATAACATATATTTGTTCAGTAATTTTAATGAATAGTATTGATTGATTTTATAATACCAAATTAATATCAAATATTTAAGTGATGGCTGAATACAATATGAATAAAATAACAATAAAATTGGTATATTTGCATAATACAAAATTAAGTTTTAAGAATAAAGGTATTACTAAAAATACTAAGAAATTCATATTTCTTTGTTTTAATTGGTCTAATGTTATTTACATTTTACGTAAGAATTATACCGTATCATCGAAAAAATCGGCGTCTAGTTGGCTTGGAAATGAACATCGATGACATTCCCTAAATAACTGTACACATAAAATAATTAACTAGAATTTTACAATCTTGGAAAATTTGATATTCTTGAACCTTGATTCTAAATATTCTAAATTTTTTTGATTTTCTTGGAATTTAGGTTCGGGAAAAACGCTGATTGATTTTTCATTTGGTTTTCATTATTTTTATTTGGTTTAAAAAAAAAACTTGGTTCGGCTAACATTATAGCCTCCATCAGTGTTGTGTCATATGAAAAAAATAGTGTCGAATATAATCCAAAAATTGCATATAAAATATTCACACCACGCACATAATGTTTACTGCGTATTCCATAGTCAATGTAGATAATTTTAGTGTTAAGAATAATAATTTTAAAAAATATGTGGTCATCTTTTGATAAGTTTATATTAGTTTATTAATTGCAGTAAACATTATGAGGTGTGAATTATATTGTATATGTAATTTTTTGGATTATATTCGACACTATTTTCCTCATATGACACAACACTGTGAAGGCTATAGTTAGCCGAAACGTTTTTTTAAACCAAATAAAAATAATGAAAACCCAAATGAAAACTTAATCAGCGTTTTTCCCTGAACCTAAAATCCCAAGAAAATCAAAAATTTTAGAATAATTTAACATATAAAATGCCAGCGATCTTCATTTCATAGCCATCGCTGACGCCTTTTTTAGATAATATTGTATTATTTGTAAATATAATTTTTCGAACATTGATACTTGCAAAATATACATATAAATTTTGTGAATGCAAAATAATAATACATCACTATTAGTAGATATTAAATGTTTTTGTTAAATTAGATCGATTTTTCAAACCCCAAAATTTAAAATATATTTACATTTTACCCATTATCTTATGTACCTATACATTATTTGTACATTGTAAAACATTTGCTGCATTTGTATGGTTCATAGTTTATTTGCCAAAGTATTTATTACTATAAATAGGTATATATGTTGTAGTTATTAACTGTATATTATGTATATTTCATTTAAACTATATCATTTTTAAAATACAAACCAAAAATCTGAGGAATAATTATGTTTTCCATGTATTCTACAACATATTTATTAATCCGTTATATCTAACTAGCGTGACGTCATAAATCTCGCCCGTAGGCTGATCTTTTAATAGAAGGCACTGGCTTAAACATAAGCAAATCTGATTAGTCGTTTTCTTGAATTTTTGCCTTTTTAAAGTGTGTTTTCAGAGTTTTTCGATATATTATCGTTTTGAGAGTTTTTAAGGTTTAATTTTAGTATCGTTTTTATTGCGTTCTAATTTGTAAGTATTGTTAAATATGAATACTGAACAGGACACGAGTAGCAGGAAAAGACGAGATGGTGGCAATGAGTACGTTCCACTAAGCACTCATAACGTTCACGCTCAAGATCGCGATTTTTCCCGTTCCACTTGCTTGCGAGCGTTACAATCATAAACTCAAGTGGAATGGGTTATGGGGCGTTTTAAGCGTCAATCCTGTCAATGTATGTAAATAAATAGTAAATAATAGTCAAAATCACAGAAGAGAATTCAAAAAATCTGTCTAAAAAAAAGAAATCAAAATGTCTTTGGCGACAGTTGGATATTTGGTGCATCGGAATGTGTCGAAACTTCTTCATCTAGTTCAGACGAATAGTGGAATGCAATTTTACAAAATCGCGATGTAAAAAGCGAACACTTAGGCCACGTATTATTGGCTATGAGAATCTATGAAATTTTTTTATCCTAAGTCGATAATCTTTTGTCTAAGTTTTAAAAATTGCGCCATAATTCCTCAACGTCCACTTCGATCCTAATATTCAGATGGGTCGTTGTGAGCTCGGCGTGAGCGAAAATAATGACGTCATTAGTGACGTTTACGCCGCGACCACAACGTCCGCGATCGTCATGTGGAACGACCGAAGGCATATTTTGAGCATTATGAGCGCTTAGTGGAACGCACTCAAATGAGTGTGCTTATAAAGACTGCAAAAATAGGTCTTATTCTTCGATAAACATAATATTTCACTCTTTTCCAAAGGATCCTGAAAAGTATTTTTATAGAAATATAATATATAATTATGTTATTAAACTAAATGTA